TACTGGCACGTACTGTTGATCCTTGGGGTCCTTCCGGAAGGCTACCCCCCAGGCTGGTGGTGCGCACGTTCCACTATTTATTTATTTATTTGTTTCTGATTCTTTTGTTTTCTTGTATTTTATCGCTCTGCTAACCCTTGGGGTCCATTTTATTTTGGTATACCTTTTCTAGGTACGTTAGCCTGTGACCACGGAAACTGACCGAGTCAAGTGCTGGATCAGTACGGAGAGATTGAGACAGAAGGAGGTACTGGATAGAGAGACCGGGATGGTTTTTAATGTGAAGACAACAACCCTGGAGGTTCTCATACGCAGATACTCAAAAACCTCGGAGCTTGGCAAGCAATTGTCGAGTCCCTAAATGAAAGTATCGAGGATGTGGAGCTCGAAAACAACAGCACAATTCACCCTCCCACACCTCTCACTCTATGGCTGGCAAGACCATTGTTTGACTTCTAAACCACAAGAAGACACAGGAAGGGACTATCGAGGCTAAGAAAAGCCTGCGACCGGAACAAAGTCGAAACCGAAGAAAGGAAAACACGAAGAAAGTAAGAAAACCAGAAGAATACAAAGGCCGTCTGAACCACAAAAACAAAGCATCACCGCCGGAACGACGACCGGTATCGAAAAAAAATCGATAAGATACGTCACTCCCGCGCTTTGTACCAGAAGAAGGTGCCTGCAGGTAGCGGAGTATTGGCGAAGCGACGGTCCCATGTTGAACGAGAGACGAGCGAATAGCCCGAAGGCAAGGCTCGCTCTCCATTACCGCGCGCCATTTCGCGGGTGGCCGCACCAATACGCATCGCCCGATAGCGGCGATTTGTTTGGCGGTGTTGATCAGCTAACCCTTCCAGTACCGGAGGATGTGTGGCTTGGAGTGCTGGAGATCCATCTCACGTTCNATTACCGCGCGCCATTTCGCGGGTGGCCGCACCAATACGCATCGCCCGATAGCGGCGATTTGTTTGGCGGTGTTGATCAGCTAACCCTTCCAGTACCGGAGGATGTGTGGCTTGGAGTGCTGGAGATCCATCTCACGTTCCCAGGAAGGGCGAAGAAGACCTTTCCAACGCGTTTGGTATGAAACAGCCACAGTGCCACCACGACCACGAATAGACTGATGTCCACTAACAACGCGGTCAACCCCTAGACGTTCGACCGGAGTCGAGACGTCGTCTTCCGTAACATGGTAGGGAGGAGATTTATTCGCATAGGAGCTCAGCACATACGGTGTAAGGCCGGCAGAAAGAGACCGAGGCAAGTCGTCAGTGTCATGTGGATTAGCGCAAGGCTTGCAACGCGCAACCGACACACGGTTTTTCGAGTCGTGACCAGGCAGATCCGAAGGAAGGTCCAAACAAAGCAGTTTGGAAGCCAAAGGACAACCATCGGGAGCGTCGGAACACGGACCCACGTCCAAGATCTTGAATGGACCAGTCCAGAGGAACGACAACTTAGCCTTGAGAACTTTGTCATCCGTGCCTGAAAAAACACCTTGGCGAATGGTAGATTTGGTGTTGTACACCCAAACCCATCCACCGACGGTGTAAGAGGGAACGTAAAGCATCCGATAGAATGGAGTTACGCCGCTCAATCCGCGAAATCGACAGGTGGTGCTGTTCGCGAACAAAATCGTAAGGATGACGTTGGCGATCAGCAGCAAGATCGCAATGCTCAAGTTGATCGCGGTGCAAGCTTTGGTGGCCTCGAGCATATGGACGCTCAACCGTCATCGGCATGCGCGGCAGTCGGTTCATATGCACCTCGTTGGGCGCCAAACCAATAGCGGCACCAACCGAATTGTTGCAGGCAAACTCAACATACGGCAGATGAATGTCCCAATCATCTTGCCTCTCGTTGACGACCATAGCCAACATCTGAGCCATAGTGTGATTGACACGCTCCACACCTGTGTTGCCTTTGGGATGGTAAGAGCTAGTAGCTACTTTGCGAATGGCCAGACGGGCGCACACAGCCTGCGACAGTTTAGAACAAAACTGAGAGCCATTGTCAGACAAGAGATTCAAAGGGCAACCCCACAAAGGGATATACCGATTGACAAGTATGTCAGCGGTGCCTTCGGCGGTGAAATCTGCAGCCGTAACCGCGTACATATCGGCACGGCGACTGAAACGATCAGTGAAAAGCAGAATATTTGTGCTTCAACGTGGTGTCAACGGGAGGGGGGCGAAGTAATCGACGATCACCGACACACCAGGGCCCGATGGCAGCGGAAGGCACAAAGTAGGCCATCGAGGTGTCTGACGAAATGATTTGCGGGCTTGGCATCGCAAACAATGCCGTATCCACCACTTCGTGCAAACACTCGTGCCAACCCACCAATTGAAACGTTCCAGCACACTAAGCGTGCGAGCGGCACCGAGATGGCAGGATGCATCCGCGTGATAGGCTTGCATGATCCACGGACGCATGGCATGGGAACATAAATCCGAATGGGTTAGTCGTTGAGGAGGCGGGCAGCACGCCCGCCAGGACGTGTGGTCGTGGACGACGGGGGCGCTGTTTTCTTGCGAACAAGCAAGACCAAATCGTCATCGTCAACATGCAACCGGCCTTTGTTGGACAGGTCACGGATCTCCGACAGAGAAGGTCGACGAGCGGACGGAAGATGATCCAGGAAATCCGAAGGGAGAGCCGAAGGCCGACTCAGAAGGATGAAACGAATTACTGCATCACACACAGGTTCGTTACGTTGCTCGCGAGCCCAATCAGCATGCGAGAGTGTTCGACAGACGTCCGGAAGGCTAAATCTGCCGAAGAATGTAAAGCCGCCTCGATAGAAGAGGGGCCCGATTCGTGAGGCTTCGACTGCAATCCATCCGAAGGCAGAGTGGAAGCGGAAACCGAGGGCGAAGGCGTGCGAGTGGTCGAAACCGAACTCGTCGGAGATTCCGAAGAATCAGGGGCAGCAGAAGACTGTTGTGTAGGATCCACCGAAGTGGAGTATGCGTCGAAGATGCAAGATCCCTTCCACGAGCCAGAGGCGTAGGAGGATCCGGGATCGAACCACCAGTACGAGGAGTCGAAGCCAACCTGGTCAAAACGGGGGGCATAGTCGAAGCTGAAGGCGCGGGCGGANGCCCGATTCGTGAGGCTTCGACTGCAATCCATCCGAAGGCAGAGTGGAAGCGGAAACCGAGGGCGAAGGCGTGCGAGTGGTCGAAACCGAACTCGTCGGAGATTCCGAAGAATCAGGGGCAGCAGAAGACTGTTGTGTAGGATCCACCGAAGTGGAGTATGCGTCGAAGATGCAAGATCCCTTCCACGAGCCAGAGGCGTAGGAGGATCCGGGATCAAACCACCAGTACCAGGAGTCGAAACCAACCTGGTCAAAACGGGGGGCATAGTCGAAGCTGAAGGCGCGGGCGGAGAACGTCGAAACGATCGAGGCCAAGCGGAAATCCGAGTGGGAGCAGGTGGGTCCTCAGAGTAGCCATTATCCACGGGCGGGAGGGGCTTGCCTGCCACAACCGCCGTACGGCGACGAGTCCGCGTGGAAATCACTTGAGTGGGGTCGAGAGTCCGTCGTGATGTGGCGGTCGGCGAGACGGCCAGGAGAGACTCGGGCTCGAGAGCCATAACATCCTCCACCGAAGGGTGTAGGGAGCCAGACCAAACTAGAGGAGGCCGCTTACGCAGTCTTGAAGGAGGCAACTCGCGGAGTTTCTTGGACGGCCAGGGTGCGATGTTCCAGATGCCAGGCGGAGACAAGGGGCCTGATGGCGAGAGACGTGGACCATGCCGACGGAAGTCGACGAAGTCAGCTGTAGAGGGGGCCAGCCCACCCAAGACCGAAGCCGGGGTTTTGGGGACGTGCCCACCCAAGCCAACACCCACGGCGCGATGGCCGGAAGGCGTAAGGCCACAAGAACGGATGAAGAACACGCCCTCCTCATCGTCATCCGGTGTCAAGCGACTGCGACCAGATCGGTCACTTTCCGCCGCATCGATCGGAAGGCGAGAGAGGAAATCAGCGTTGCCATTTGGTGAACCCTTGCGGTACTCGAGAGAGTAATTGTAGGCGGTGAGAAGTTCGAGCCAACGCTGAACGCGGGCATTGTTCTCCCCCACCTTGGCAAAATGCTCAGGAGATTTGTGGTCGGTAAAAATGCGAAATTTCGTACCCCACAAATAACCGCGAAGTCTTTTGATGGACAACACGATACTACCCGCCTCGAGGTCGAGGGGAGTCCAATGACGTTCGGAGTCCAAAGTAGCTCCGCTGATGAAGACGATTGGTCGGATGGAGCTATCCGACTATTCTTGTTCGAGAGTCCCACCGAACCCATCGCGACGAGCATCACAGTAGAGACGAAAAGATCGTGAGCCGTCCGAAACGGCATCCCAATCCGGATTAACCAAGACAGGAGGGTTGGCCAACTCAGATAGCAGGACGCGAACAGCTTGCTCCATGGCAGAGGTGAAGACAAACGTCGCCTGCTTTTTGAGCAGAGTGGTAAGAGGCTGAATGCGCGTAGCCATGTTGGGAAGGAACTTGCGATAATAGCTGAGGCCGCCGAGAAGAGAGCGAAGTTGCTTAACATCCTTAGGCGTGGGCATTGTGGTGAGAGCCGCAACTTTGACCCCGTTAGGCCGAATACCGTCGGGGGAGATGGTGTGGCCGAGGAAGTCCGCTTCTGTACCACCGATGGTGGCCTTCGGTAAGGTGAGTTTCAAGTTGTGTGTACGCAGACGTTCGAACAGAGCGCGCATGGTGTCAACATGAGAAGCAGGGTTGTCGTCGAAAACGATCAAATCATCGAAGTACGATGCAACACCGTGGAGGCTTTTGATGACTTCGTTGACAACCTTGCAAAACCACCCAGGTGCAGCAGAACTGCCTTGAGGCATCTTCAAACACTCAAAAAGCCTGGAAGACGTCACAAACGCCGTCAAAAGGATTGTATCACGGTGAACCGTGATTTGGTGAAACGAAGACTTCATGTCAAAAAGGGAATAAATTCGCCCTGTCAACAACTTGTCCTAAGTATCATCAACTCGAGGAATCGGACGCTGGCTCAAAGCACAAAGCTTGTTGAGCTTGCGATAATTGACAGTGATGCGAACACCGCCAGATTTCGTCGGTATGACTACCAAAGGACTCGAGTAGGGCGGGGTCGAATGTTGGATCAGACCAGCCGCAAGATATTGATAAAGGATAGCGTCAACTTGTTTCGCCACCGGGAGGTTAACGCGGTATGGACGAGATGTGACGGGTGCACTGCCTGGAGGAACTGTAAGCTTGAAAGGAAAAAGCGAAGAAGATCCAAAGTCGGTTGAGGAACTCGAGAAGACATCATGATATTCGCACAGGACGTTACCAAGCTGAGTGATGACATCTGGAGTCCAACCCGGACCATGGAGATCGAAAGAAACATCACGGAGATGACAAGGGAGCTTATCCCACACGCGGGAAAAACTCTGACGTTGTTCGGACGTCAACCGCTCGAGAAGAGCAGGCGGAGGCGATGAAAGACAAGCACTGGCAGAACCGGGGTCCTCTTTGTCGCTGTGCAACGGCGTGGGTCGCTTGTGCAAATTGTACGATGCGTGACAGACGAATCAATGCCACCTGTCGAAACAAGACCCGGAACCCAGTTGCCCGAAGCAGCGGTGGGATCTTGAGCCGCAGATTGAAGACCATCGCTCAAACTGTGCCGAGACACAGCGCTGAGAGGCACGCGAAGAAGGGGAGCCGAAGCTATACCAAAAACATCGCCTGGTTCTAGAGAAGGGATGCCCGCGAGCGGGATTCGTTGGCAGTCATTTTGCACGAAATGTTCCTCGGAAGAAAACATAGCGGTTTGGGGAAGCATATCCACGAGATAGTCACCTAAGAGGGCTGGGGAGCCATCGCTGCGCACCAAATTAACCGGAACAAGGCTATGTTCAGGGTGAAGTTGGACGGAATGTTTCCCAGCATAGCGAAGTTGGTAGTTACCATCTATGGAAGACAAATCGTGAGCAAATGCGGTGGCACCGCAACATGCTGAGCCAGGGTAAGCTCATCAAAAACACGGTCATCAGGGCGTTTTGCACGCAAAGTGTGGTAAGAGCGGTCGCTAAACCGCATCCAACTGTCTCTTCCCAGGAGCACATCATGATGCATAACACCATCGGGAACAACGTATGTCCAATCAGCGAGAGAGTAAGTAGGAAGGCTCTTCCGGAGAAACTGCACGCTCAAACGGACAATAGTCGAAGTTTGAAGCGGAGCAGATTTACCGAAACCACCCCAACAGCGAGGTTGGGTTTGTTTCTCAGACAACGACGAAGCTGCCGAAGCGGCTTTCATGGATTCCCACTTAGATGCACTAGTAAAAGACTACGGGGAACCCGTGTCCAAAAGTGCAACACATCCAAACTGAGCAGAAGCCGAACCACTGTGAGTGAGGATTTTGGTTGTTAAAGAGCCATCATCGATGGGAACAACCACCAACCAAATGCGGACCTTACTCAGGAAGCAAAGAAGAGGAAGAGGATGGCGGGGTGCATCCGGAAGGCACGGCCCAAACAGCAGTGTCATGATCCGACGGAATATTCGGAGGGTATTGCGAAAATGACGCGAACCGTTCAGTCAATGGAGGGCGTGAGACCGGAGGCGCTGGTGTGTGGAAGGGCTAACTTCATAGACCGCGGTTGTTGAGATGACGTCGGAACGTTATCGCTAGAAAGCAGTAAACGAGAGCTGCGCTCGGGTGGCGGGGCATTGCATCGCAAAAGACTGCGTACTCGTTGAAGGGCGTTGCCCAACAGATTGAGACCGCGCCATCGAGAGGTGCATTGGGCGTCAGGATCATTGGCTTGGAGGCCAATACCTCAAACGCGGTCGTAGGGGCTGGCTTCGGGAAGGATTTTGTCGCCAGATCCGAGAAGATAATCGCGCAACTCGGAGTTTTGACTAAATTTTGCGTACGAGCTAGTGAGCACAATATTTTCGCGCTCGCGTTCTCAGAGGGATGGGTCGAAACCACGCACACCGCGGCCAAACTTCTTGTGCAAGGCAGGATCGGACACTCGCATGATGTTCTGCAAAGCGCTGTGGTCTTCGAAAAGACGGGCTTTTTCAGCAGCGAAAAACTGCTGAGCACACAAGTATACGACTCCATCGACCACAAAAATTGACGGTGTCCACTGAGAAAAGGGAGAGGGGGGCTGCCAAAAGAAGACCATGCCAGGAGCACAATACTCGTTAGACGGGTCGAAGACAGCGGGAACTACAGGAGCCGAAACGCCCGGAGTGTGATCAGCCGAAGCTGAGGTGGCAGCCGAAGCTGGTGAAGCCGAAGCTGGCGTAGCCGAAGCGGCGGCAGCCGAAACGCCCGCTTTGAAATTTACGGCATGTACGTCCATGGGGACGGTCTCAGGTATGTTAGAGACCGGCGAAGAATCGACCGGAGTCGGATGGTTCGCAATATTTAGGCCAGCGATATCATGCTGGGTGCGCCCCAATTCTAAACCTGAAGAAAGGCCTTTTAAGGTGTCATTCAACAAGCTGCTCTCGCTAGGAGCGGCCGCCAAGGCCGGGTCAGTCAAAGAACCAAACCGGGCATGGTGCTCCTGGCCATTCCTCCGTGACAAGGTACGCGAGACCGCCGGCTGTTCGGAGGTCACTCCGGGAGGGTCCTCCCGAAGCGGTGGGGTCAACACTGTCGACGTCGGTCGCGGCGGCCTGGTATTGGGCGCCATGGGGCGAGCGTGCGTCGGAAGGGATGGATCGCGCGAAGACGATCCATGGTCGAAATATCTTGTGGCCGTATCTGATGGTGTTCGGCGGTCAGGACCAAGAGAACAACGTGATTCGAAGCCAGGCGAATTCGACCCTGCAACTTGCCGGTCGGAACCAGTTAAGTTAGCTATCGGTGCAACAATCGAGGGCGAACCCTCAACGGAAGCGAGCACAGACGAGTTGAGCGTATCCGAAGATTCACCCGAGGTAACCAATTCAGGCGATTCCTCTTCAATAATCCAAAGCGCATGGCTACGACCGGTCTGATCTGCAGACGACGGGGGGAGCGAAGGAGCGATGCCTGACAAACGGGCGGTATCCAATGGCCCCGAAGGTCCTACGGTTCTGTTCCCGAACCTCAAGACAGCACTCGCGCCAGACTGATGAGTTTCTGACGGAGCGCCAGCCCGAAGAGGCAGAGACGCAGAGGTGGCAGACAATAAGTGCGATGGAAAAGGTGGGGCGAGAGCATTTTTCTAGATACCGACCTGATCGACACTTGGAGAAACAACGGATACCGAAGTATGGTTGTTGTTGTGTGGCACCGAAGTACCAGAAGAAGAGTGCCAAGGGATAACATTCACCGAAGTCTCGTTGCGTAGGACCGAAGTGCTAGAGGCAACAGTGTGTGAAGGCGCGCCAGACAAAGCCGAAGTATCGGAGGCAACAGTGTGTGAAGGCGCAACAGATACCGAAGTAATGTTTTTGGTGCATTAAACCGAAGTATTTGAGGCAACAGAGCGTGGCACACGAGCGTCTTGTGATGAACGAGACGAAGTCCCCGAAGACGCTAAAGGCGGTCCGAGGGAAGTAGGCGAAGAACCGTCGATGAGTCATCCGCTACGAGAACGACCACCATCTTGGAAGCTGCCGGGTTGACGGGCATTGTTATTGGTCGAAACCATGATGCCAGACGAAGGACCGGTGTGGGCATGTGTTTGTGGTTGATAGAGGGACAGACCACCAGTGTGGTGGGTGCTGACCGAAGTGTGTTGCTGAGAGTGAAAGTTACCCGCAGAATTTCCCAGGGCATTCCCACTGTTGTGTGATTGTGTCTGAGGAGTGTGAGGGGAACTGCCACCGTCGGAACGGCGATACCCAGCGTGGTTTCGACGCTGAGAGGACGAAGAGGAAGAGCGCTGGTGGCGTCTACCCTGATTGTTTTGTCGGTTGTCCGCACTTGTTCGGCGAAAAGACCTCATGCGGCCTTGCCAACGTCTAAGAGCAGCAGAATCGTCATTGAGGAGGCCCAACTCAGGGTTCAACAACCCACTAAAATTCGTGAACGGTGCAACGCATTGCTTCATGGAATGGTCTTCACCCGAGCAGTTCAGACAGCGATTCCTGTTTTCGTGGAAGGCTTGCGAGCGAGACGCTTGTGTCAACAAAGGAGTTCACAAGAAAGGATCATCCGTGTTACGAAAACTAGAAGTGAGAGCGTATACACCAGACCAATCGGCTTGCGAGGCAGGCCAAGAATTATAGTTGCGTGTGAAAGGGTGGTATCGTGCGATTGTACCGGCAAAACTACGTTCTGAGCAGAACCTGATGCCCACTGGCCCGAAGGTGCGGGAGCGCGGTAGTGGGACCGCCGAGGCTGCGAGGAGCCACGCGTCCAAGACAATGAAAAATACGATGAACGCCCGATAGCCGGGGTTTTATTTGTCGCTAGAGGCGCAAACGCTTCCCACATGTCCGCAATCGACTCAAAATGAGTGACGGCCGTGGCCAGAGCACCCGGGCACAAAATCGGAGACAAACTCGGAAACTGCTTGCAGACCGAATGCCCCACTATCAGTGTGTAACACGCAGCCCGCGTCGGAGGGTCACGCGGGAGGGAGGGCAGCAGCTAGCTACATCGAAGTTTGGAGCTAGCTAGCACAAATACTTTCATTTCATCTACTGGATAAAGATTGAACGCGAACCGTGCAGAAGGGCGAATACCATACCCTCATCGAAGCGAAGGTGGCTTTGCAGCGTTTCAAGGGCGCCCCTTCTCTCGCGTACCTCGATGATTCTTGGCAGAGCAACTTCCTGCCCACGTATGGTCAGCCAGCGCGGGATCAGTGGTTGGCAGCCCGGGAAGCGACCCACGTCGCCATGGTGACTTCGCTCTTCTGCGGACAGTTCCTGTCACTCAAGAAGTGCGACCCGTCACAGCTCTACAAAACCTCAGATCATCTGCGATTCGGAGACGATGACCTTCCGGATCCCC